GAGTGTAGAGCAGCTCGGCCATGACGGGCCGTAGGGGTAGGGAAAGTCGTGCAGACGTGTTGGAAAACGTGTCGTAAACGTGTTGTAATAATCGGGGGCGTGCTCGTGCTCGTCAAACCATCACGGTATCGAGTCACGCCTTCATGCTTTCTCACACAACGAATCTCTCTGAATCCTCACCAAAAGCCTCTCACAACCAAGGAAAATATGTAGAAAGTTCCTGTTCCTCCGCATCTCATCACTGCAATTTTCGTACGTTAACATCTCAACCGTCATACTATGATACGAGTACCCCCAATATATCTAATAGTATATTGCAACACGAAGTCCCGACAAAATTTTCCCACGAGAACAAAAAAAAAGCTGGTAGGCACGTGGTTCCTAGCCTTTCCGGTGCTTATGCGGCGCCGTTCGGCGTGGATATTTCAGTCATTCTTCGCGGTGTTGTAAATGTACCAATTACGAGACACCCCCCATTGAGAGACTTTTTTTTTCAAGGGCACATATATCCGGGCACAATCCGCGGGGACCCCTGATGTTTATTCAAATTTTCAAGCGCTTCCGTTACAGAACCGGCCCGCACTTAAGAATATGCACGGTAAATTAGAGCCTAAAAAAATCCAATTTTTAAGAATTTGCCCGTAAGAACACGTGCTCAGATCGGACCTGCTGTTAAGAATAAGAACCTCCAGTGAGGTGTACGATTGGTGCTACAGATAAGAACATACTACAATGACGCGGCGGTGGCGAGAGAAGAACATACACAGATGGACGAGGAGGGGGGGGTGGAGGCGTTCCCAGGTTTGGTAGTTGGTACCTACCTAGACTATCCCTTTTTAGACTTTTTTTTGAGGTGGGGGTCTGCTGTACATACACGTCGTGCCAGTTTTTTTAATTTACCACGCAACGTGGTGCAGCGTGCCACGAGTTGCCNACGAGGAGGGGGGGGTGGAGGCGTTCCCAGGTTTGGTAGTTGGTACCTACCTAGACTATCCCTTTNATTGGTGCTACAGATAAGAACATACTACAATGACGCGGCGGTGGCGAGAGAAGAACATACACAGATGGACGAGGAGGGGGGGGTGGAGGCGTTCCCAGGTTTGGTAGTTGGTACCTACCTAGACTATCCCTTTTTAGACTTTTTTTTGAGGTGGGGGTCTGCTGTACATACACGTCGTGCCAGTTTTTTTAATTTACCACGCAACGTGGTGCAGCGTGCCACGAGTTGCCTGCCGTGCAGGGGGATCATGTCCCTGTCCAACCCCTTATCCCATGGGTTGCTGAAGGACCTTGGCAAACTCCAGGAGTTGAAACAACGAGGACTGATTCTTGACCGTCACTTCGAGACGACAAAGGCACATGTGAAGGCGGGCAACTCCGTTGCGAAGGAGCAATGGCACGCAATCGAGAACGCATGGGGGCTGAAGCAGACGGGTGTCTTCAACGANCCAGGAGTTGAAACAACGAGGACTGATTCTTGACCGTCACTTCGAGACGATAAAGGCACATGTGAAGGCGGGCAACTCCGTTGCGAAGGAGCGATGGGACGCAATCGAGAACGCATGGGGGCTGAAGCAGACGGGTGTCTTCAACGAAGAAGAGTGGATCACGCAGATTGATGGAGAGGCCCAGGGTATTACCAGCAGCACCCGTCCGTCGTTTTTAACGCCACAAGATGCGGGCGGCGCGCGAGGTGCACCGTCTTCGCACCCACCGCCTGCTACTGCTGCGGCTGCCGGGAAGAGAAAGGTCGCAGATCGGGGGAAGCAAGCCAGGGATCGAGCTGCCCAAGGTGTTCTAGGTGGCAACATCATCAACGCGTTCGCTCGTGGCAGCGGAAAACCGGTGAGTTCAGTCATCTGACGAACTCTGTTGCTGTGATGATGTACATATATACAGCAGTCGTACGGCGGTCCAGCAGCTGTATGTAGTGTAAATACGGCAGGAGTGCTACTGCTGCTGCTGTTGTTTAAAAAAGAACGCGGTGGTGATGAAATGAAAAAGGCGAGAGAAAAATTACTCTGTCACAGGTTGGTGTAAACGACTGACTTTCAGCATGGCGTACATGTATGTGTACAACTTTTTCAAACATTCTCCGTTTGCCTCAAGTTCTTGAGGAAGGCAAGGACGGTACAGTAGACACAATGGCGAAAAAGAACGCGTACACGAGCGCCGTCCCAACCGTATTTTGTAAATTTTTTTTTGCTGCACCGTGATACAAACACACGAGAGACGGTCATGTAATCATCCCTTGCCCCATCTGCATAGATAGATATATTTTGCCATCGACATCCACGCAATTTCAGGTCCACAGCTCGTTGAATCACCTGCACCTCAATTCCGCCCTTCTCCTACCGCGCCGTGCAGATTGAGCGGACTCGCGGTGGTGTCATAGAGCATGTGTCCGGTATCAACTTCCCACCTCCGGCCCCGGAGCGGCGCATACCGTGCCCTCACTGTCCCATGACCTTCGTGAACGAGCAAGGACTTGGGATCCACGTGAAAACACAGCACAGCAATGCAAACATGTCCAACGGCTTGCGGCTGCAGCGGATGCTAGGGAAGACTCCCAAAGGGTATGTTCAGCCGTGGGGAGAAGCCGGGCCTGGACGTTGTTGGCACGTGAAGGTCGATGGTGCGACGGGGGCGGCTTCGTTCGTCCTCCAACGGAAGCGCTTCCGCGATCTCGACTTGGAAAGCGACGGCTTTACGGACCGCAAAGTCAAGGAGACTCGTGGAGCTGTGAAATGCAAGCTATACGATTTCAGGTTCAAAGCCTATGTTGTGACCCAGCTGCGCCTCCTCCAGGAAGACGCCGCAGACCTCTTCAAGGAGGAGCAGCTCACGCCTCTCCAGTACTTAGAGGACCGTCTCAAGGTTAACTACAGCCTGATCGTGAAGTGGGCTCAGGACGAGGCCAATATAGTCCAATCGGCAGCAGATGACGTGAAGAAGACCCTCCTTGCCAAACACCAGCCAAAGCGGCGGTTTCCTGAGAAAGAGAAGAAGCTGATATGTTCTTGGCGCGGCGGAGGAGGAAGCTGAAGGTGTCGACCCTGTGGCTGACGGTCACGTTCCGGAAGCTCGTGCAAGAGAATCACCCTGAGGACCAACGGGCGGCGGCGTTCAGCGCGTCCTTCAGGTGGGCACGAAAATGGGCAAAGAGGCATAAGCTGTCCAAACGGCGCAGGAGCAACCTCAAGAACAAGTCTGTTGAAGAGCGCCTACCAAAGATCCAGCGCTTCCACCGGCGGTTTCGCAAGCTCCTGCAAGAGCCGGTACGGTACAGGGCACCCGAGGCATCGGACGTGTCGGC